TTACAAACAGTCATTCTCTTGAGAAAGTAAAAACTGAACTCTTCAATTATAAGGAATGACTTGAAATATGGCATCTTAGTAGAAGCTGTCTACTTAAAGGTTACCAGAGACGTGTTTTATCCACGTAAAATTTATACTTTACATCAAATTCTCAATATTAGAAATCCACATGTTTAAAAACCTCATAATTATTGTAGCCATTGGGATTTGTCTTTCTTTGCCGTTTTGCATTATGGGTAGTTATAGAGGATAATGAAATGATTTAAATGTGCAAGATGTTTGGCTTGTGTTAAAATTCTGACCAATATTTAGCAAGCTTGAGTCTTAGAATCTACACTGGACTTCACAGGCTATCTTCGTGCTTGCTTAGGTTCTGATCTTTGCTTACCCACTTGTTGCAAGTTTTTTAAATAGGTTTCAGTAGTAGCAATGTTTACATATGTTTCCAACGTTTTTAAAACACTGTTGCTTTATTTAAATGTGTATTCCTTGCAAATAGTCAGCATAGTAGTTCTGTGATTGTCACAGAGACCTTGAGAACCAATGGGTACTTTACATGTCAGAACCTAATTGGCAAACACCTTTTTCCCTTTTAGTTAGAAAGAAACTCTGATGTGATGCTGTAGGATCTGGCAGGAATCTCCAGCCTCCAGCCTTCTTATATGGCCAGACCTTATTGCTCTTGTTGATTTGTTTATTTTAATATCCAAGGTCTTGTTTTTTGTTATATCAGTTATCATATTATTCGATACAAAGTGTCCTAGGAAGAAGATGCTAGGAAAAAATTGAAGCTTTTGATGAAATTATTGCTTTTACTTTGAATTTCCCTGTGGTCACTGTGTTTTGTGTAGTTATTTCTCTGGCACGTCATGTTGTAAGCCATGTTGACCCTCTGAGGGTACTGTTAGCTGCCTCTCCTGAAGAATGAGCAGCTGTCTCCCAAGTACCCACACTAGGTTTCTCTGGTAGCAAAAAACAGAGAACACTAGAAAAGGAAAAATTCAGTTTTTTGCCCTTTATTTGAAAAAGGGCAGCTTTAGTTGCTCATGATGAAAAATGTTAGCCAACATTTTATTACAACTTATAAATATATTAAAAATTGTCTGCTAAATTAGTAACATGAAAATTCAGATAGACGACAGTTATGTTGATTTTTTTTCATTGACCAAGAATATCTGGGGTGTTTTTTAACTTGTGACATAATGTTTTAAAGATAATCTGGAGAAATTTATGGGGAACCAGAGGAAGATTAAAGAGCCACAAATATAAATCAAAGAAAGAAACTGAGTATTATTATACGTAGGATGAAAAATACAAATAGTAGTATTGGAGGTGATCTCCAACTTTTAAATGGCAGTGAAGAAAATAATGTTTGCATTGTTCCAGAAGGGAAAGAAAGAACTTAAACAACTACAAGGTAGATGAAGCTTTATTTGGTTCTACAGTAGAAAAAATATTTTAAGTTCAAGTTTTAATAGAATGGTAAACAGAAATCATTGGACTCACACAGCATAGCAGCCTACGGAATTCTCCTGTAAAATGAATGTTCATTCTGAACTTTACCATTTTACTCCTTCATGATTCAGGAGCGTCATTATGGGTATGAATTGTAGGTATTAGGCTGCTAAAGATGAATGATATTGATTGACTCTAGTAAAATGTTTTTCTTGCTTTTTGACACATAATGGACCTTAGCTTAAACTAATGTCTCCTACAATTTTCTCTCTTTTTTAAATCAGTCCCTTCTTTTTGTCTGGTTCTCTCAACTTTTTTTCTGTCCTTTATGTGTCATTGTTTTGATGCTCAAATGAAATAACAATTCTAGGTTCTGCTCCTTAAAGAGTATCTTTCTTTTATTGTGTGAAGAAAACGGTTTTGCAGAATGTGCTAACATCTTCAGGATGTTTGTAGTGTGAGCCCTGCTCTTTGAGAAGGACTTGAATGAGATTTCCACAATGCTGCTGTTTGTCTCATGGCTTTCCGCTTTTGAGTGGCAAGTTATCACGGAAATAAGTACTCTTAGTTCACAGCTCTTGGAGTAAGAAATGACCAACTTGCCTTAACTACCATCCATTCTAATGCAAAATAGTTTACAGCACAAATATCTATCTAAGGAAATGTCAATAATAAATATGTAAGTGATCAATTTAGGGCATTTTTCTAATATGGTACATATTTAACAGTGTCTTCTCACATGAAATGCTGGAGAAAACACATGGCAGTCAAAAAGCAAACTATGAAGAATAAGACTTTGATCATATTTTCAGGAATGGTTTTGATCATATTTCAAGGGTTTTCTTAGAAGCAACAGAAGTATATATGCCAAAGATAGAATTGTTTTACAACTGCCAAGTTTTAGAGATATATGTTGAAGATGGAAAGATACTCAAAAATATATATATATATATATAATTATATTTATTACAAACTGTATGGTAGTTACCTCAAGAAAGTTGAGGAGATAGTGGTGTAGGGGACTTTTATTTTTCTCTGTGTATAACTACACATTTAAATGTATAATTTTGAGTGAAGTGTATTGATTTTATATAAAGAAAAAATATTATTCTGTACTATAGTCAAATCAAAAGGGAGGAATCCTAACTATAGCACACTTCCTAATCTTAATAATAATGAGTTAATCTTCTTGATTCTATGCTTACAATTTCTTTTACTTCATTAATATGTAGAATGTCAACCAAAATCATGTTTGGTGACAAATACATAATAGAAAAAAGCATATTTTACTTCATATTAAAAATCAAACCCATGTAAAAATTATAGAATGGCCTAGCAACAACAAAGTGGAATTCATCATGTTAAAGTATTTACTTCACTTTTCTTCATATTGTATTTTATTTTCTCCATTTCTAACACTACAAAGAAAGGAAAACAAAAATTATGAAGTTTATAAGATTGAAAATAATTATGAATTAATTATAGAAAATACTACAAATGGTGGGCATAAACTTTTCTGTACAGTAAAGAAACAAGTTTCAATAACTAAAGCTAGATATACCTGATATAACAATTAAGTAAATTTCACTTCAAGAAAAAGTTTTATTATAGGTATTAGCCTTCTTATTTAAAGGCATTTTTAGGACCCTATTAAAGTGTATAGATTACAAAGGCTGAATAGATTAGAATAAAACTCAGTATTTCTAGGACATCCATATTGTGTGTATATTTAATTTTATAAAAGGTTCTAAAGTCATTCTTGAATCCAGGCCAATAATTCCTGTTCTAGAGTTAGGGTTTAATCTCAACTCCACAGAAATAAAGGGCCTTGACTTACAGTTTTTTGGTGACAATTCACTGTAGCTGAAATATGAAGAAGTGAACCCACCAAATAAAGCTTTTAAGATATAGAATTTTAAATTGGTTTTTGTGGTAATTGACAAAATGTGAAGTTTTAGTGATTATAAGTTTCCCTGGAGAATTATTATTCTGTGGAATGTGTGTATTTTATATAAATATTCTTATAGAATATTCAGTTATAATTCATTTATAGTTCCCTCTCTTATTTTAAGGCAGTTTTAGATGAATTCAATCAGTTTAACACATTTGAAATGAAATTGTATACTGATGCTGTTCATAACTAACCTAATAGGATTAATACTTCTATATTAATATAGATTAGAAGTATTCATTTAATGGGATATTCATAATTATGTACTCTAATTCTAAAAAGGACTTTGCTTGTATCATTCCACATCCACAATATATTATCCATGCCATTTTACTGATGTTTTATGCTTTGTGCTAATGACAACATTGAGAATTTAATGCAGTACTCATAAAGAATACTTCTTTATTCTAAGTTGATCTCTAAATGTTAATAACTTAGATTGAGTTTATGATTTTAATATAAATTTATAGATTGAAAGTCAACTTAACTGAAGTATTTTCTCATTTTAGCACTTAAATTTGGTTAAACAATTTTACAAAACATGCTATAATCTTAATAAAAGAAACACATGTGGTAATAACTATTAGCTTTCCATATTCACATTTCATTTAGCAAATGAGAAAGAAAAGTGAACTCTACCATTGATATGCTTCTCTACCCTTTTGTAAAACAATATTAGGAAAATTTTGACAGAGTTTTGCTGCAATTACTGTATGTATTTTCTCAAAAATATCTATGTATGTCTGACTGTGTGTTGACATCATGTTTGATCATAAAGTTTGGGGAGGGAAAACTTGTTTGTGTTATGATCAGTTATATCATCATAATGATTCTGAATTCATTGCTCCCATGTGTAAGTCTGTCATGTTTAATTTCATTGAATCTTTATTTCAGAGTTTGCATGTGGTACTCTTTTTAGTATCCACTATCTTGAGATTGAAAATAATACTTTATGATCTTTTCTACTATACTATAACATTTTGGACTAAAACACTTGGTATTGATATGGTCTTTCATATTGTGCTTCAAAAACAATGTTAACTTTCTTGATCTTATTTAAAGATCTTCTCTCTATATCATCCTGCTACATATTCCAAAATCCAAGATATAGTAGATAAAGTTTGGATTTTGTTGTACAATTTTTAAATCTCAAATATTTACAAGTTTTTCTGCTATCAGATCTGAATTTTCAAGTTGTCCAGCTTTGGCAATTTGTCACTTGTATATTATTGCTATTAAAATACTAGTTTTCCTAAAATAATAATTGTTGGACATCACTTTATTAAACATAAAATAATAATAAAGTGTGACCAATACTTTCTGAAATTATTGTTAACATCAAAATATTGCCTATGCCAATTTTAGCATCATCAAAATAAAAATATTTTTCATAGGATGTGTAGATAGAAAGATCAAGTATAGACGCACTGAAAGGTCACTTGACCTCAATGTGTGTTTATACATTTTTTAGCCATCATACCGTTAAACCTTTTTCATAACATTTTGCATGACTGATGATTACATGAGGTTTAAATGTAGGATTTGAATGAACCCTAAATTATATGTTTGGTGGGGATGGTGAATTCCTTTTCAGAGATTGAACCAGTCGAGTTCCTCTGAATGCAGCACAGTTGATAACCCTCTGCCAGGAGAAGGAGAAGAAGCGGAGGCTGAACCTGTGAATTCAGATGAACCAGAAGCCTGTTTTACAGATGGTAAGAGAAAAATCAAAGCACAGTTGCTAGTGTTTTGAAGTTTGCCTTAAAATATAATACTAACTAGGGATTGTTTATCAAGTCAGAAAACTCCTTTTCCCGCTGACTCAGCTATGGCTCTGATGAAGGACAAGTCTTTGGATCTCCCTAAACTTCAGTTCCCACAGTTATTATACTCTACTAACAACAATTTCCAATGACAGCACATTACATTGTAGCATTCTTCAGTAATATAGGATGTTCATGCCTCTCATTTTGCATTCTTAATTCGTATTCCCAACACCATGGAACCACTGGAATGCAAGTTATTAGGACAGATGGTACTACTGTCTTTTCATCAAACATTGAAGAAATTCACTAAACACTATGTCAATAATTTGATACTATTGGCCATTGTCTATCTCAAAACTCTCCCTTTCCCTGCTTTCAGAGGCTACACTCTACCATTGTTCTTCTTTTACTTTTCTGAGAGTTCTAAGTTACTTCTCCTGTTTCTTTTAATGCTTATTTTCTGCACATCCCATGAATAATGAAGTATTCACACATTTTTGATCCTTGTTATCTTTTCTTATTCTTAACATCTAAAAGGTTTCAAACATGTCTGTGAGTTGAATGACCAATTCTATGATATTGGCACCAAAAATCAGTTTCTTTCCCCCCTACCTTACTCTTGAATTCTTATAATACTCCATTGGGTCATCTCCATTTGTTGTCTTAAAATATCTCAAGTTTAATAAGATTAAAACAAACTTTAGTCAGGTCTTTTCACATAATCTAGAGCTTTCTCCAGACTTTAAATCATTCAGTAACATCATCATCTATCCTACCTCTCCAGCTAAAAACTTTGAAGAGAGCCCTAACCTCTTCTCTTATAGTCACCAGCTCATTATAAATGATGATACTAAGACACAAGTCCTCCAGAAGATGGTGATGCATGCTAAAATATAAGAGACCTTGATATATAGGATAAAATCTGAAGTCTGTGACTTGGCACGTAAATCCCTCTACATTATCCTCAATTATTTCTTCTAATAGTAACTCTTCCTGTTCCTTACTTTATGCCCTATTTAATGGAATTTTCCAGAGATTTTATTGAAAGTACTGGTAACTTTGACCTAAGTCTAGGAAAGTGTGCACTATTTTCTAAGCAATTATTGTATCATCTAAGAGCACAAACCTAGAATATGGTTGTAGTATAATTTGATAAAATAAAGAATCCAAGCTTAAGCATGAGTTTTAATTAACTAACTACTAACAATCTCTGAAACTGTGAGCACATTTCTAAATCTCGTACTTCAGCTGCTTCGTCTATAAAATGGAGGTAACAACACATCATGGAAATGTTGCAGGGATCTAATGAAATAATGTTTATGGATTAATTATCACAATGCCAATGATTCTTTTCCTTCTGCTTTCCCTAGTTTTTCAAATATTTTGTTAGTGACCGTGTAGAATCTGTGCTAGCACTGATGTTAATGACTGACAATCTGCTCATTTATTACCATCAACATCATCATTTTTGTAAAAATCCTTGACTTGATTTTGGTTTCCAAGATTTCATCAGGAGTTCCCCTAAGACACTCATGCATTAAGCAAAGCAAATAGAAAATAGAAATATCTGCAAAATGCAATGAGTGCATGGATTTCCTTTAAATACCTACCATATTTATTTTATATGAGAAGCAAGGAGTATTATAATCAATATAAGTTTTGTGTTTGCTGAAGTTAATGCCACAAACAAACAATATGGACTTTACTTTAGAAGTATTCATGCTTAAGCTCCCAAGAATTTCATCTAAATATGTGGACTGTATCTGAACAAATTGATTAGCAGAATTATAAAGTTAAAGTTTTACAAATGCTATAAACATTTTCCCAGTTTATTTTATGAGTGACTCTTATATAAAACTTAACTATAACTAGAAAAAAGTTATACTAATCCAACCAATTAAGGCTTCAAGCCAGAAAAAGGCTCCGGAAAAAATTCAGGTTTTCTACAGAATAGTATAATGCTATATAATTAGTATAAATTCTACAGAAATAGTATAATGCTGTACTATTTCCACCTGTTTGTGTTATCTTAAATAAAACTTTACAAAGTTTTTTTTACATCTACAAACATCAATGAGATACTTTTGTGATTGTTCATAATTTTAAATTGAGACAAGTGTAGAAAAGATGTTATAAAAGCACATTTTAAATAAACCTTGGTCTTGGCCACTGAAAATTGACTGAGAGGACATATCTGTATCAAGTCACTTTCATGTGCTCCACTGGAGACTATATAGTTACCACACCTGTTTAGAGGCTCAGTCTGATAAATACAACAGAGTCACCATTTCACTCAATCTTTGAACTATGTATTCACTTGTTAATCCCTTCACTCAATAAACAATTATTAAGCACCTTTTTTATGTTATATCAGTTCTTGGCACTATAGGAAGATAGAGCTATGAAAAAAGCAGTGTCCCTTACCCAAATAAACATGGAATTATGGGAGAAGTGAATACCAAAAGTAAGGGGTAAGAACCTATTATCATGTACCCTTTATTATAAAGGGTACATTTGATCATTTGGCCTTCAAAGAATCTGCTTATAAAGTCTCACAACATGGAATCTTAAAGGTAAATGGTGGATAACAATGGCAGAAACTTGAAAGTTCCTGCAGTAAACCAGGTGAGAGCTGATGGGATCTTAGCCTAATAGGTAGAGTTGGGGATAGTGAGAGTGTAAGTTTCTGAGCATTTTGAAGTTAGAGCTGAAGAGATTTATTAATGATTGCATAGAGTGTACCAAAGAACCGAGTTAAAAGTAAGTCCCTATTTGGAAACTCAGAAACTGTAAATACGCTATTTCCACATGAAAATTTGAAAAAAGTAGGCTAATCAGGATGAGAAATTATGAACTCATTAACCTACATTGGAAATGACTCTTACAAATTCATGACTGATCCACAAGAGCTTAGCTGGAACCAATTCAGAGCAGCACTTAGCTTTCAGAGATACTTTTTGTTAGCAGAAAGGCAATAGAAAAATCAAAGAAAGCATGAGAGATAGTTAAATCAGAGTGGGTCTTTCATTGAAGATGAGTGCTGAAGCGATTTTGTTGTTCATTGCCTTACATTCACTGATCCTTTTCATAACTGTCACCTTACTAATGTGTTCCATAAATTGCATTGTGGCTTGATCCTCTCATCCCTTTTTTCTCCTTCCTCTTAAGCCATGTCTTTCCTTAACTCTGTTCCATGGCTTTATAATTCAAGATTTCACACTTCTGCCCTACCTCTTGCACTGGTCTTTACTACCCTCAGTTCTGCATATCTATGCAACAACATATATAATTAGGAATATTACATGATTCTTTGATGCCACTTAGTTTTTTATTATACTCCTTTGAGCAACACAGTAAGTAAATTACACAATCAGAACTTAAGTCAGTGAATACATCTTTTTTCTTAAGATTGGTTGGTGGACCCAACTTATCAAAAATATTCTGAGTTCATCAACTTCCTATGGGACAACTAATAATTCTACTTCAATAGTAGAATAACCAACTACTTTCTGTCTTTGTTTCTATCTTTTGAAAGGAAAATGTGAATAAAATGTTTTCCTTAAGAGGATGGAGACATTTTGAAAAAAAGAGGGAAAAAATTTGTTTTCCCAGTCAGTTTTACATTAATTATACTAACCATGTAGTTACAGTTTTATTAATGGGTAATCTGTCTGTGAAGAGGTCAATGGTTTCTTTTTTATTTGAGATCATTGGTTTAACATGATGAAACCACAGACTTTAATGTATCATGAGAGCAAATTAATGAAGCCACCCAAAAGACACAGTATTTACCCACCAGGACTCATTAGAGTGTTTGAGAGGTTCTCTGTTATGTTTGCATTTAATTAATAGTTCCTTTAAAGAGAAGGTGTGATCACGTTGCTAACCAGCTAGGTTGAAAATCTCTTGGGATATGTCTTTGCATAAAAGCCAGACAGGTGACTGAGCTCTCCAGTCTCAAGTAAGAGAGAGAAATATTCTGAAGTGTGATAAACCCCAAGGGTAATATTTGTGAAGGTTCATCTAAGATAAAAAGTTTATTTACTTTTCTAATTAGAATGCATGGTGTGTTTTTTCTTTCTTCAATCATAAGTGTAATATTTCTTTTTTATGACCATCAAAAATGAATACAAAACACCAAAAATCTTAACTAAATGGATGATTTTCTTTTCTTACAATTTTTAGTTGAAGCAGGTAGATTCTGTTTTGCATGTGATCTTTGTTGTTAAGTTTAATATAAATTCTATAGTCACTATAAAAATTTCCATCTCAAATTTTTCCACTGCATTACTATAGATTATCTTGGAATCAAATTTTTACTCTATCTTTTCAGTGTATTTCCCTATCTTTTTATCACATGTTCTCTCTTAACTAAATTTATTTGAGGTATAAGGTACTTATTTTAACTATAATGATGACAAATCCTTTTGGGTCCAAGATCATGTTAACTATCCTTACCATTGTATGAATGAAGCCATTTCTACATTTTCATTCACCTTTTTAAAAATTTTCTCCATCTAACCCTTATGTAAATTCTAGAATTCATGGAGGCATGACCTCTTACATTATGACAATGCTTGGAAAATAATAAATTTCTTTCTCTGGGGATTGAGTGTTTTAAAATCAACTATACAGAGCATAGTGTAGAGGATGACAGAGAGTTCTGTGACCAGAATGAAAGGGCATAACAGTCAGTTTTTGCTTTTGGGAACTTAGAACCTTCTGTAGAAAAAGGACAGGAATACATAAAATGTACATGATATCAAAAACATTTCAGACTTGAGGGAAAATCTAGCTTGCCACAGTTCTATAGAGTTGGAAACTACAGTGCTAGGAAACAGCTCAGATCAACTGAATCCATTCGTTAATTTCACTTTAGAATCATGAGAAAATCTATAATAAGACATTGTCTAATAAATGTAACTTAAAAAGAAAATTCTAGCTTTGTT